TATAAAAAAAGACTGGAAGGATACATACAGAAATATTACAAATTACCTCTCGGTGGAAAAAATAAGGTGATTATTATTTCCTTCTTTACATTTTCTTGCATTTTGAAATTTTCTACAAAAACTATGTATTATTATTTTTAATATCAGAATAAAAATTGACTTATATCTGGTTTGCTTTGTGTTCCTGCCTAAAGGAAGGCAGACATCCTTTCAACGTCCTTCCTAAAACGGGATGGTTCCTGAGACTGGGAGGTTAGCTTCATCGCCTGCAGAAGGGCCCAGCGCGCGGAGCTGCAGCCGGAGGGCACAGCCCTGTGTCCGCTCTGTCGAGGCAACTGGCTTATCCTTTACCTTCCAAATACACGTTCTTGTTTCCGATTTTATTGACTACGCACGTTACTACGCAGGCGCCAAGTTCACAGCCCGGACAACCTCAGAGGGCGAATGTTAGGGCCCGAGGGCGCGCCGAGCCCCCCGTGCCAGCTCCCTCGCTCTGCCGCAGGAGGAACACAAGTCACCAATGGCACCTCGCACAAAAATGTTTTTAAAGGGTGTTTAGAGCACAGAAGTAAAAGCTTTTTTCACGCATTATTACAATTAAAAAGAAAGAAAGAAAGGTCGACGACTTCCCCAGGCCCACCCAGATCTGGGCAGGGCCCCGGTGGTCCCCGCGCTGCCTCCCGCGGAATAAAGGGAGGAAGGACCGGGCACCTCGGCCGCGCCCGGCTCACAGCAAGTCAGACACCGTCCCAGCCAGGCTCACAGTGAGAGCACACTCATCTCCTAAGGCGAACGCTACTCTTGAGCCACTTTCTCTTCTGTGCCTCTTTATTCACATCCTGAACGCCCCCTCGCTGCTGTCGTCCGAACAAGGCATCCCGTGACCTTACCGCACAGCCACTGCACAACCGGGACCACGTGGGCCTCACCACGTCTTTTCCTCCCGAGATACTGGATTCTTTTTTCTCGTTTGGTCTGCTGAGATAGGGCTCACCTGGAGTGACATGCGCAGATCAGTTTTGACAAATGCATCCGCGGCAGTAACCACCACTCCGGTCAAGTTCCAGAACATTCCCGCCCCAGAAGAACTGCTCACGTCGCTCCCAGCCAGGCGCGCCCTCTGTTCTGGTCTCACCACGGGCTCCTCGCGCCTTTCTAGAACGTCAGATAAACGCAGTGATTGCGCAGGTACTCTTCTGTGTCTGGCTGCTGCTTTGAGAAGCATCATGCTGCGGGGTGTGTCCTCGCTTACTCCTTTTCGTTGCCGAGCAGTAGTCTACTGTCTTGCAGTACACCACGGTTTCCCGCCCTCCTCTTGCTGAAGGACGCCTGGCCTGTTTCCAGTTTGGGCACTAAACCAGACATTTGTTCCAGTGCTGGCACCACTTTCTCCGAATAAGAAGTTTTGGGAATTGGATTTTGTTACTTTTGAGATTCGGCCTTCCATTGATGTGTAGATTTTTAGGGGCCTCCCTCCCTTCATCTCCTCTCCAGGAAAATCATGGTACACGTGCACCTGGAGAGGAAGGACGCGGGTAACACTGAAGATGGGCAAGCTTACTCATTCGTCACACCAGGCACAAAGGCTGAACAGAGGAACACGTCACTCTCCCGGCCGGGCTCACAGTCCAGTGTTGGAGAGGCAGGTCAGGCTGCAGGGCTGAGGGAAGGGCAGGGAGAGGTCCAGCCTTCAGAGGTGAAGGCACTGTCAGGGCCCCAGGAGAACCAACCTCAGTGAGCCTTAACTGCATGCCGGACAGTGTGCTGATTATCCCATCCACCCTTACACTGACGTGGGTACATGTATTGTCCCCATTTCAGGTAGGGCGCGCGGACGCTCAGAGAGCACACAGAGAAGTGCGTGAACATTGTATGCAGAAGACATATGTGAAGCGAATCACAGCAGCTTACAGGAAATGCAGGGGCTAGTTTTTAAACGGCTAGGGGAGCTGTGCAACTAAATCGTGTGAATAGCATTTCCACTTTCTCTTTTCATTAGCATTCTGCAAATTCTTCTTAAGCCATAAATCCTCTCTGTTCATGCTCACTGACTGTGGGTGGTGTACCTGCCGTACTTCCCTCTCAGGGAATTACTGACCAGCTGGGCAATTGTAGTTTTACAAAGAGAGTAACTTAACACCACTTCTGATAACAAAATAATAAGTACTTAAGATATTGTGGATATACTGTTACCAACAATTCTGGCCAAAATCCATGTACAACAAGAAGGATTTCAGTGGGAAAGTGAGTGGTTTAAAATTATGTTTGGTGATTCAATAAAAATTATTTTTTTGCCTTACTGCTCTCCTTGTCTTCCTTCCCCTCACTTCCTACCCCAAAGACCTTTTAGTATTCTCTTCCTTTATTGCTACTGATTATTATTTTATTCACCTATTTAAACATTCACTTATTAAAAATAGGAAGGGTAGAGCAGAACCTATCCCTTTTTCCAGCAAGAAAGCCCTGAATATAATTTAGGGGAAATTCATCCCTAAGAAGCACTGGATGAACTATGTGGCTTCATGTTTAAAATAGTTTATTCATAGCATTAGGAACAATATAGCTTCCTATATTCGTTTGTGAGGGCTGCCATAAAAATGTACAGTACTGCAGACTGGGGGGCCTAAACAACAGAAATGTCAGTTCTGGAGCCTAGAAGTCCGAGATCAAGGTGTCGGCAGGGCTGGTTTCTCCTGAGGCCTCTCTCCTTGGCTTTGCCTGTGTTTTCACATTGTCTTCCCTCTGTGTCTTAATCTCCTCTTCTTCTAAGGAACCCAGTCACATTGGATTAGGATCCACTCATATGACCTCATTTTACCTTAATGACCTCTTTGAAGACCCTATCTGCAAATACAGTCACATTCTGAGGTACTGGGGCTTAGGACTTCAACATATCAATATTAGGGGAATGCAATTCAGCCTTTAACACTTTCTGTCTGCATCACAGATCTGTTAACCTAACGAATTAAGAGAATACTTAGGAAAATGCTATGAATGAAATTATATCCTGTACACCAGGGTGTCTGTTAGGGTTAAGTTAGTCACATTTTCAACTATTTTTAAATCATTTGTGAATTTAGGTTGCTTGTAAGGAAAGATGTTAGTGGCTACTATTTTAGAGAGCAAGGCTATGAAGAGAATTAGATGACATGAAGATCATGTCTGCAAACAAGTAGTTTAAATTTTTAAAATTCTCTAAATTCATACAAATGAGAAAAGTAATTAACAATGGTTAATTACAGAAGATATGTGGTGTGTCTTTTTGGTAAGCTTTAACTTATGAAGAGCATGGCAAGAATAGTGTTAGAAGAGAGCAGAAGGGAAATTTAGCATATCCTCCTGGCATCGCTGTTGATGGAAACACTAGACGCGATCACAGAGTGAGTAGAGGGCTCGCCATGGCTGGTCACACTTCCGTAAGTACAGCTTGGTACAGCTTCAAACTCTGTGTATGGAGAATAATAAAAAGGATCAGAAACGGGAAACAAACTTGCTTGTTAAGATCAATTAAGCTGATTTATAGGAAACTAACCTTTTAGTAGATAAAAACTGGTCTAATCTCGACAATTCTGTGTGTCAACCTAACACAAAAGAGACAGCAGAGGATTTCGCCTGTAGAAGACGGAGCAGAGAAGCGCCCAGGAGCCGTTATCACGATCACGGAGGAGCAAACAATGACTTTGTCTTGAATGACTTGTCTTCAAGTGTTAGACAATTCATGCTTAACTCTGCAACCTCAGCGCTTCCAGTTTGGTCTCATAACAATAACACTGTCATCCTCCTCATCTGATTGATTTTCTTTATATTATTATCTGCTTAAATCCTTTAAGCGACCTCGCGGATAGGTGCCCCATGCCCTAACCCTTCTCGGGAGGGCTCCAGGGGCTTGCTCAGCCCTGCACCACTGCCCCTGTCTGTCCTCTCCCGGTGGGGGCCGCCCACTCACTGCACACACTCACACCGCACAAACTCACAGCGCACACACCGCACACACGCGCACTGCACACACAACGCATACACTTACACCCCATACACTCGCACTGCACACACGTGCACACACACCGCTCACCCACATACTGCAACACCCAGTGCATACACTCACAGTGCACACACCACACACCGCAACACTCACAGCGCACACGCTGACACTGCATACACTCACACCGCACACCCGCCTACTGCACACACTCACAATGCACACCCACACACCGCACACCCCGCGCTCCCGCCGTTCGCAGTCCCGGGGTGGAGGGGCGGACCCTCCTCCCCCGGCCCCCGGTGTGCACAGAGAAGTAAGCGCGTCTTTCTCTACCGGGGCGGGCGGGCGAGTGGAGATGCAGGGCTCAGGGTGCAGGTGCAAGTGCAGGCGCCGGGCTGGGTCACGCGAGGGCCGGCGGACCCACGGTCACGCACTCGGCCGACAAACCAGTGACAAGGAAATCGTCCGCCCGTCGCAGCAGCGGGACGCGCAGCCAGCGCCTCCGGCCGGCGCGAGGACGCGGGGAGACCAGGGGCGGGCGCCGGGCTCGTC